CCCCCCCCTTCCCATTTTTTCTAGGGATTTAGCAAAAGACCCTAGGGTCTTATATCCGGGGGAATACGGTATTCTAACAGGCTCCAAATGGTCCAACCAGCAAAACTATCATGAGTTGAAATTTTTGTCGTGCGTGAACGGTGAGCAGAGCAGCGGTGAACTGTCCATACTATCACATTGGTCAAGTAAAGCCGCTAAACCTTGAATGCGAGTATCGGATAATCACCCTTATAAGTTCCCGCCACTTTCATTGTTTCAACTGCCTTCCACAATAAGAGTCTCATTGAATTATTATGCGCACCCTGTTAATCAAGGTACTTAATAAGATCAAGCTCTACAAGGTGACCCTTCAAAGCTACTCTGCAACTTCTTGGGGGCTTTTCAGCAGCGGGCAGGCAGTGCAAATGTCGCCAGCTCATCTGTGCCAGGCACAGGGATCTGGGATATTTATGGGATGAGGCAGGAAAACCTACCCGGTCGGAATCAGAAGCGATTTGGGGAGGGCCGTATCATTCCAGGTTTGATCCATCTCGAAATTCGTCCAAGTCCCATAGGGATTTCAGTTGTTTCTGCCCTGCCCTAAACAACTGTTCAATTCCGGTTGTGGTCGGTAGTACTCTTGTACAGTTCTACGAGCCTGAATGGAGGGAAAATGGTCATGTTCCTCGCACCCTTGTACAGTTCACCATCCTTCCATGCCCGAAGGGGCTGGCTACAGTAGTGAAACTGGGACCGACGCCTTCCTCCCGACCAGTCACATGCCCTGGGTCCCACGACTCACAAGTCACGGCATGGCTCACAAAGCGAAGGTCGGTCTACACTAAATGACCAATAGTATTGAGTCTTGGAAAAGTTGGTTACGAAATCGAGACTTCCTTGCAACACAGCATTTGTAATTGAACTTAGCGTTTAGTCATGTGGTAGTTGAAATTTACTAGATGCGATGCGACTGCTGAACGAGAGATATCGGCCATGCACTCGTCAAATTTACCACCTGTAACTGGTCCAAACATTTTCTCGTGTTAGAGCACGTGTGCTGAATCACTTCGTGATCTTAACAAGATAAAGTTAGGAAAATGAGAATCAGCTGTTCAAGAAGTCGTGCGTCGCACCCGTGTACAGTCGTGACGATTCTGCAGAACGTGGACTGTTTGCAGCTGGATGAGAATTTACCCAAAAACGAAGAGCACTAAAAAATGGATAGGCATTTTCACGGTGTGGGGCATCACCGTGCCGCACGGATCATCAGTGCGGCAAATTTCAAAGCATGAGCTGACAAATCCCACACCTGGAGGCCAATGTTTGAGTTTGTTCGGCACTTACTGTCAACTTCATTGCTCGTCGCAATCCGGACTTCCTGACCCACTTATGGACTTTCATCCTTTTCCCCCATATACGAACCCGGACACGGGTCTGCCAGCTTCATGTATTGCACCACCTGTACGGGAGAGGGACACGTGAATGTATGGACAATCGGGAATGTTGGTGGGAACATTTGCCCAAACCCTCCCTCAACCGCCATTTTGGCTGGTGTAGTTTGTTGCCCTTGTTGGAGGCAAGTGCACCGCCGTTGCAACTGGTTGGTCAGATCCCACCGCCCACGGCATTCCCAGCAGAATACACATGATGCTCAACCACTGGATGGAAACTTTGCAACCTTGTTTTTTTCCTCTGCCAGTTGCACGCACGTTACAATCACGTGGCGCAAGCTGCAGTGGTTCTGAATCAATAGTAACGAACAGACCGAAGTCATATTGAAGAGACTGAAGTCAAAATGTCAACGGGTAAGTTAAATTTATTTTATAAGCACCTGACGAATCCTTTTTTGCTAACTGCGAATTGACGAAACTGTATGAATCTTAGGCGCAAAACAAGACATGCTGACTCGGTTTGTTCTTGTTTCTTGGCCAGAAACAAGCATAAACCCAAAACCATGAACTAACAACACAGGCCCACCAGAAATGTTTTGGAAAAAACAAACGATTTACAACCTGTGTTTTTTTGAAGCACCTCAACACCCTGGCGAAATGGAACGAACTGGGCAAAATGCCTAAAGCGTTTATAAGCCCAGAGCACAACCCAAGTAGGGGAGAGTCAAACAAGCATCCGGTGCAGGTCTTCCACCTGCCTCTTGTGTCTCTTTCAACAACAGTGTAAGCTCAGTTCTATCGTTACGCGTGATTCGAACTGTGTTGTTGTAGGGTTAGTAATAGGGCTGCCCTTGCGTACGAATAGACGATTTTCCGCAAACGTTCCAAGCGTTTTTTTTTGCGTCTTCAGAACACCCTACTTTTCAATCAGACTAATCTTCACGGAGATATTATGTCTGCTCCCGAAGGTTGCCACATTTAACGATGTACACCGAAACGATGCGTTTGAAAAAATTCCTTGGGCTGCAGCATTTGAAGATTATGGGGCAGAACCTTGTCATGCGGCACATTAGTCGCTGGAACAGTCTGGCAGCAATGGCCTCCTCGGAATCCACCTTCACATTTCATCGTCCGAGAGATCGCGTTGAGTTTGCTTTCTGCAGAGTTTGCATTTCTCTCGCCTAGTCCTCTATAATCGCCACAAAACAAAGTAGTCGTCATGCCTTTGCAGGGTTTGCACTTCCCTCTCAACACTGAGTGTTGTGCTTAGTAAACCTTGGCCACTCGAGGCGGGCTTTTCTCCAAACTCCTCCAGTGGACTGTGCTGTGGCGGCACGCCAAATCCAGCTCGCTAGAGTCGTCCCTGGTGGTAGTAGTACTGGCGGTGGAAAGAACGCGCATGGTCGCCATGATGGCGACGCGGGGACGGCATGTGCGCCTCGTCGCGGTGGTCGTGCTCGCAGTACTGTCCAGCCACCTCCACGGCGTCGCTAGTAGTGTCGTCATGCTGACCGATCAAGGTGGAAGCCATCCACTGATGCGTTCGTGTCCTCACCATAGTATAGTCATGACATCCACGTGATAGAGCCGTCAAGTGTTATCACATCACCAAAATGTTGCTGACCCAAACGTGGCCCAAAGCTAACCTTATAGTAACCTCAAAGTAACTTTGGGGTCAGAAGTTAGTTACGGGACATTTTGAGGCTCGTAAGTAATCCAACCCAAAGTGTCTTAGACCCAAAACTGTCCCGAATCTGACTACGCTTGTGTGGAGACTTGGGGATGCAGGTTCGACACCTGTTGCTGGCAGTTCTCGTTAAAAAGAAAAAGAAAAAAAGACCTCTGAATCTGACTTTCACCAGAGGTCGGCGGATCGTAGCTCGCTGGGTGCATTATAACGAGCACAATGAAGACAGGAAAGTAACAACAGGAAATAAGACTGCCTTGAAGTTAGCAAGTGATCTGGCGAGAGTCGAGCCCGTTACCTCTGGCTCCGTAGACGAGTTTTGTGGGCTTTGGGGTTGTGTTCGGAAGTCAACCCACCAATTGTCAATAACCTTTCGAGAGAACTTTATTGCCCAGTCTATGGATACGGAACGCACCCCTTACTCTGGAAATCCCCGTTGCTATTCCACTTCCTTCCAACGTTCACCTACGCTCCTCCGCGGCTGTAAACGCTCCAAGCTGCAGGCATACTGTTCTTGCAAGCAAGCCCGATATGCTCCACATCCTTCCCTTTGCCTTCCTACCCTACCCTCCGCTTACGTCGCCCTCATTCTTCCTCTCCCCTCCCTCCCACCTATCAGCGACGGCCCTGCTGAACATCAAGGCGGCCATGGGGCTGACCTACACCACGTGGACCACCACCAACCAGTGCACTCTTAATGGCGCCGCTGCAGTCGCTGGCGATTGGGACCGCGTGAGCTGCACCTCTGATGGCAAAATCGCCGCGGTGTGAGTGCACGCGGCAAGGCACGGTGTGAGCGCTGGCGGGGCAGGGTTGTGAGTGCTGGCGGTAAGGCAGGGGTGTGAGTGCAGGCGGTAAGGCAGGGGTGTGAGTGCAGGCGGCGAGGCAGGGGTGTGAGTGCTGGCGGCAAGGCATGGTGTGAGTGCAGGTGGCAAAGGCAGGGTGTGAATGCTGAAGGCAGGGGTGTGAGTGCTGGCGGCAAAGGCTAGGGTGTGAGTGCTGGCGGTAAGGCAGGGTGTGAATGCTGAAGGCAGGGGTGTGAGTGCTGGTGGCTAAGGCAGGGGTGTGAGTGCAGGCGGCGAGGCAGGGGTGTGAGTGCTGGCGACAAGGCAGGGTGTGAGTGCAGGTGGCAAAGGCAGGGGTGTGAGTGCTGGCGGTAAGGCAGGGTGTTAGCACAGGCGGAAAGGCAGGATTTAAGTGCAGGCGGCAAGGCAGCGTGTGAAAGGCGGCAAGGCAGCATGTGAGAGGCGGCAAGGCAGCGTGCGAGAGGCGGCAAGACAGCGTGTGAGAGGCGGCAGGGCAGCGTGTGAGGCAGCAAGGCAGCGTGTGAGAGGCGGCAAGGCAGCGTGCGATAGGCGGCAAGGCAGGTGTTGCAACAGTCCATCTAAGCTCCTTCTCATGCTCTGCATACCATTTACTTGCCCAGATAGTGATTACACATTGCTGGTGGTTCATGCATGTGTAGCTGGCATGTGGGTGAGGATGAGCAGCAACGGCATGCGAGGCAGCTTGTCCACACAGCGTGCTTCCTCTGACCGCTGTGACGCCGCTTCCATAATCTCCTGGCCATACGTGCATACCATATTCAACTGCTCACCCTCCCTTGTATGTCTCCAACACTCTGACACTGTTGTGTACCTCAGGACCCTGGATAACTTAAAACTGAAAGCCTCACTTCCTTCTGACGTCTCCACGCTCACAGCTCTCACCTACATGTAAGTTGCGTCTGCCTTGCTCCGGCTATTCTAATCCACTTTGTAATGAGAATGTTCTCTGCTGTCATATCAGCTCCTTTATGTTCCCTCTTTTGCTATGATACAATGGATGCCCAGAGCTCCATAGAGTTGCCTAATCGAGCCATGCTGCATCTAGTCAAGAGAGAAGCGCAATTACTGCCCCCTGCACCTTGTGGCCCTGCTCGCCCCTTCCCAACCCACAGCAACATGCAGAACAATCTCCTCAGCTACCGCGTCGACTCCTTCACCACTCACTTCAAATCCATAACAGTGCTGGCCGACATGTGAGTGCCAGATTGCAACCGGCAAGGGAGGAAGGGTGAGAGTAGGCGAATGGTTGTGGTGCCCTGTCTTGCCTCAGTTTTTCACCCACTCCCATTTCACTCTCAATTCTTCCGCCCTCCATTGTACACGCTGCCACTCAATTCATCCCTGCCCCTCATCTCATCGCCGCCCTCATCATCTCTGCTCCGCCCGCAGCCGCCTGCACTACAACTACTTATGGGGAGAAATCCCCTCGTTTCTTGTGGGCCTTCCAAAACTCACTAATCTGTAAGTCCTGTGGGAAGGCACGTACCAGATGACTGCATCATGCTGTTTTGAAGGTGCATGCTACCTCTCCTTGCCTTCCGGCCTTGTCTACCCACTCCTTCACTATTACGGCCCTTGATGTATCTGCCCCATTGCTGCCCTCCCCCCTGCGCCAGCGTGGCCTACTACAATTATTTCATCGGCACCGTGCCTGCGCTCGGCCCGTTGCTGCTCTCTCTGGACGTGCGAGGAAACTTCCTCACAGACTTGCCCACAGCGAGCTACACGTGGTGTGGCTGTGCCGGGAACTGCATGGCGGCCGCGACAGCGGCCGCAAAGTGCATCAGCGGCGGCTCGGGTCAGCGGCCTGCAGCCGACTGTGCCCCCTGTGGCACTACGAACGCTGTGGGGCCTTTCTGCACGTCGGGCGGAGTGTGCACGGTGGACGCGAGTGCACGCATCACTGCCGGCACTCTGAACCTGCCGGCGCAGCCCGCGCTGCCCATGACATGCTCGCTCCTCATGGATCCAGTGGATTGTGCGTCCTCCTCACCCCGTGCTCCTCACCCCGTGCTCCTCACCCTGTGCTCCTCACCCCGTGCTCCTCACCCCGTGCTCCTCACCCCATGCTCCTCACCCCGTGCTCCTCACCCCGTGCTCCTCACCCCGTGCTCCTCACCCCGTGCTCCTCACCCCGTGCTCCTCACCCCGTGCTCCTCACCCCGTGCTCCTCACCCCGTGCTCCTCACCCCGTGCTCCTCACCCCGTGCTCCTCACCCCGTGCTCCTCACCCCGTGCTCCTCACCCCGTGCTCCTCACCCCGTGCTCCTCACCCCGTGCTCCTCATCCCGTGCTCCTCACCCCGTGCTCCTCACCCCGTGCTCCTCACCCCGTGCTCCTCACCCCGTGCTCCTCACCCCGTGCTCCTCACCCCGTGCTCCTCACCCTGTGCTCCTCACCCCGTGCTCCTCACCCCGTGCTCCTCACCCCGTGCTCCTCACCCCGTGCTCCTCACCCCGTGCTCCTCACCCCGTGCTCCTCACCCCGTGCTCCTCACCTCGTGCTCCTCACCCCGTGCTCCTCACCCCGTGCTCCTCACCCCATGCTCCTCACCCCGTGCTCCTCACCCCATGCTCCTCACCCCGTGCTCCTCACCCCATGCTCCTCACCCCGTGCTCCTCACCCCGTGCTCATCCACTTCATCCCTCCACTGTCCCCAGCACCACACTGTGTGCATTCCCACTTCCCACCTCTACTCTCTCCTCCTCGCATAATTTTCCTTTTGCCCACACCATGCTGTTGTGCACCCCCATCTACCACTCCCTGCAGTCGCCGCCATGATGAACATAAAGAGCGCGCTGGGTGTGACATACACCACATGGACTGCCACCAACCCATGCCGCTATGCTCGATCCGCGGTGGCCGTTGCAGGCGAGTGGAACGGCGTCACCTGCGTGAACGGCAAGGTGTCCGACATGTGAGTGCGCAGCGCCGCCCCACCCACACTACCGCTCTAACCACACCTCTGCATCACCCACACCTCTGCATCGCCCACACCTCTGCATCACCCACACCTCTGCATCACCCACACCTCTGCATCACCCACACCTCTGCATCACCTACACCTCTGCATCACCCACACCTCTGCATCACCCACACCTCTGCATCACCCACACCTCTGCATCACCCACACCTCTGCCTCACCCACACCTCTGCCTCACCCACACTTCCGTCTCACCACCCGCCTCGCCCACACCACCACCCCACCCATACCACGGTGCCCTCAATCATCCTCCTGCTTCAACCGTGTGCGTCCATCCTCTGACCGCTCTTGTTGCTTCGCCCTCCCCACACTTTGCCACCAACTGCTGCGTGCACCAGGGGACTGAACAGCCTCGGCCTCAAGGGCTCACTGCATGCTGACTTCTCCAAGCTCACATCTCTCAGCTACTTGTGAGCTCCTTCTGCTCCCTTCTCATGCTGCTTCAATCTCCGCGTGCCAATGCTGATTTTTGAGGCGCCTCAAAAAGCACCCTCTTGCTGCATTGGCTGCTGTGCCAAAGGCAATGGGCGGCCCAACCTGTGTCGAGTTGCCCAGTCAAGCCGTGATGCATCCACTCAAGGTTCAAGCGCTATTATCGTGCTTCCTGCACCCTCCTCTCGCCATCCCCCCACAGAAACCTGCCGGGAAATCTCTTCAACTACCGCCTCGACTCCTTCACCACCAACCTCCGATCCTTGCCAGAGCTGGCTCTCCTGTGAGTGCCTGCTAGGGCGTGGCCGGCACGGGAGGAGGGGTGAGAGCAGGCGAATGATGATGGTCTTGTCTCGCCCCAGATTTTTCACCCACTCCCATATCTGTCAGTCATTCAACCTCTGTTTCACATGCTGCCACTCATCTCATCGCCACCTTCACCATCTCTGCTCCTCTCGCAGTGCCCTGCACGACAACTACTTGTACGGAGAAGTCCCCTCGTTCCTCGTGGGCCGTCCGAAACTCACTGCGTTGTAAGTTGGATATAAGGGAAGGCCCGTACCGGGTGGGTAGCTGTGTGCCACGGCGTGAGTCTGTTAATAGGAAGGTGCATGGCAATTCTCCCCTGCGCGATTCGGTGCTCTCTGCCCACTCCTGATGAAGCCCTTTATGCACCTGCCCCCTCACTGCCCTCCCCCCTCGCCAGCGGTGCTAGATTCAACTACTTGATCGGCACTGTGCCCGCGCTCGGCCCTTTGCTGGTCCTGCTGGACATTCAGGGCAACTTCATAACGGACGTGCCGGCAGCCACCTACACGTACTGCGGGGGCTACTTCAACTGCCTGCCCACGCCCTCCAAGTGCCCCAGCGGTGGCACCACTCAGCGATCTGCCGCAGCTTGTAGCGTCTGCGGCACCACCAACGGCGTTGGCCCCTTCTGCGCGTCGACGGGAGGGGTGTGCTCAGTGGACGCGGCTGCACTCGTCACTGCCGGCACTGTGAACTCGCCCTCGCAGCCCGTGCTGCCCATGTCATGTGTGGGCGGGACACCTGTCATGAATGCTGCTGATTGTGAGTACTCTCGCCTGCTTCTCCCGGCTGCTTAGAATTCCTTCGTCAAGCCCCCCCACCACACTGCTTGCACCCTTATTCCCACCTCTCGTATAAGTTCACTCTGCCGTGTTCCCCCATCCGGCACCCCTGCAGTCGCCGCCATGCAGAACATCAAGACCACGCTGGGTGTGACCTACACCACTTGGACCTCCACCGCTCCATGCCGCAATGCTCGATCTGCGGTGGCCCTTGCGGGCGAGTGGACGGGCGTCACCTGCACCGACACTGGCAAGGTTTCTGACATGTGAGTGACACTACCTCGTCACCCATTACACGGTGCCCGCAATCGTCCTCCTGCTTCAACCGTGTGTGTGCATCCTTTAACCGCTCTTGTTGCTTGTGTCCTCCCAAACCTTTGCCACCAACTGCTGTGCGCACCAGGGGTTTGAATAGCCTTGGCCTCAAGGGTTCCCTTCATGCTGACATCTCCAAGCTCACAGCTCTCACCTACTTGTGAGCTCCCTCTGCTCCATTCTTATGCTACTTTATAGCCTTAACAATGCCGATGCACCCTCTTGCTGCATTGGCTGCTGCGTCATTGCTTTCTTGGCCAAATGCAATGGGCGGCCCAACCTTTGTCGAGTTGCCCAGTGAAGCGTTGATACATCCATTCGAGGCTCAAGCGCACTCATCTCGCCCTCCTTCACCCACTGCTCGCCCCTCACATCACATCGCAGCTCCATGAACTCGAATCTCTTCAACTACCGCCTCGACTCCTTCACCACCAACCTTCAATCCCTGTCAATAGTTTCAATGTGAGTGCCAGTGCTGACCGAGCGACACGTGAGTGCCTGATTGGTTGGCAAGGGAACGAGGTGTCGGAGCAGAGCAGGCGAATGATGACGATAGTGTCTTGTCTCTCTTCTGCTTGCTCCCCTTTTTATTCCCGATCTTCCTACCTCCGTTTCTGTGCGTACCTGCTCAAGCTTCTCTCCATTTACCGCGCCTCAGTCTCGTGCCTGCACAAACCTTTCCCCTTCCACATGCTGCCACTCATCTCATCTCCGCCCTGATCCTCTCTGCTCCTCTCGCAGCCTCCTGCACTACAACTACTTGTACGGCGAAATCCCCTCGTTTCTTGCGAGCATCTCAACTCTCACTTCCTTGTAAGTCAGGAAAGGAAGCCACGTACTGCCTGCCTGCATGATGCTTTTGAATATGCGTGCTGCTTCCTTCTCCCTCCGCGCCCTCTCTGTACGCGTGCTCCTTATGCCGCCTATCTCCGCTTTCTGCTCTCTACCGCACTGTCAGAGGCATTGCCGGCAACTACCTGATGGGGTCCGTGCCTGCACTGGCCACACAGCTGCGCACCTTGGACCTGCGCTTCAACTTCCTCACCGACTTCCCAGCAGTCGCCTACTCCTCGTGTGGCGGCGCCGGCAACTGCCTGCTCACGCCCTCCAAGTGCGCCACCCTCGGCACGGCTCAGCGGGCTGCGGCGGAGTGTGCCTTCTGCAGCACCACCAACGGCGTGGGCCCTTTCTGCGCTGCGACGGGCGGAGTGTGCACGCTGGACGCGGCTGCGCGCGTCACTGCCGGCACCGTGAACGCGCCGGCGCAGGCTGTGCTGCCCATGGCGTGTGTGGGCGGGACGACTGTGGCCATCAAAGAGAGCACAGGTAGGCAGGGGGCTGGGGGCATGGGGCAGGGGACAGGGTGCAGGGGGCAGCGGCTGGGAGTAGGGGCAGTGCACTGTGCATGGTTGTTGTCCACATGGCCTGTCTGTTGATAAGTGCCTCGTTTCCGGCAGGGCAGGTGAGCAGTGGGTGTGTGCGTGCAGCAGCACATTTGGGGATGACAGCAATGTGTGATGGTCTAGTCCAGTGCTGTTGCATCATCAGGGCGCTGAGCTGCGTGGGACTGTGCTGCTCGGGGCGCTGGGCTGTCTGCGAGGGCCCTTGTCCCCCCTGCGGTTCCTCACGTGCTCCTTGGGGCGTCCCCCCATCTCCCGCTGCCTACATTATTGCCCCTTACCACCCCGTGCCCCTCACCTCACCAGCCATGCTCGCACTCAAGTCTTCGCTCGGCGTCACTCTCACCACGTGGGCTGCCACTGTGCCATGCCAACTTGCGGGGCAGACCACCACGGTTGCAGTGTGGACTGGTGTGCTCTGTGACAGCACTGGCAGTGTCGTGAGCATGTGAGTGATTGTGATTGGCATAGAAGTTATCATCCGGATATGGCATGGATCACCAAAACTAGCAAGTTAGCTATCATCAGGAATGCTGCTAACCTTGGGACACAAGAGGAGAGGAGGCCCAAAGGCGGTAGTTCAGATTGCGAATCGCGCGGCTCAAACTTCTATATGTTGAAACAGAAGTTGAAAATTTTGAAGGTCCGAGCTTTTTGAAAATTGTGATACGGGGTACCAGCCACAGAGTTGCTTCAAAGGTTTTCTGATTCAGCCTACCCCCCGTGTTGCGAGAGGTTGAGAGAAACCCAACCAACCCTCGCACCCAATACGGCACTCCACTGATGTTCACCTTCCCTGCTGCCCACTGCTCAACCCCACTAACGTCAAACAATCTAGGCCGCAGGCTTTAAGAAGTAACACACAGTGCCATTGTTTCATGCCTGTTCCTGCTGAATGCGATCGAGGAGCATCAGCAAAGGCATGTCAGGCAGGAACCTTGTCAACTGCATGCTTCCCTTGACCGCTATGGCACCACTTGTATGATCTCCCTACTATACCCGCATACCAAACTCATCTGCTCGTCCACCCTTGCATGTGTCACTAATCCTCTGCACCTCAGAACCCAGACCAACTCAAACCTCAAGGGCTCACTCCCCACTGACATCTCCACGCTCACAGCCCTCACCTTCCTGTGAGTTGCATCTGCCATGCTCTGGCTGCTGCTCTGATCCACGTTGTGATGTTGTCTGCTGCTGTCATGTCAGCGGGTTTACATCTCCTTTCGTGGCTGGATGGATGGAGCTACTCACTTCTCAGTTGACTAATGATGCCTTCAGTCGACGTTCAAGCACAACGAAAATGCCTCTTGCAAACCGTTGCTTGCTCCCCCCCAACAGCAACGTGCAGAACAATCTTCTCAACTACCGCCTTGACTCTTTCACCACCGACCTCCGATCCTTGCCAGTGCTGGCCGTCTTGTGAGTGCCTGTCAGGGTGTAGGGATGAGGGGTGCGACCAGGCGGATGATGCTGGTGTATTGTCTCGTCACCCACTCTTGTTTCCCTCTCAATCCCCCAACCGGTGGTTCACATGCCGCCACTTGTCTCATCGCCGCCCTCCCCATCTCCTCCTGTCGCAGCGCTGCGCACTACAACTACTTGTACGGCGAAATCCCCTCATTCCTCGTGGGCCTTCCGAAGCTCACTGCGTTGTAAGTATGATAGAAAGACATGTGCCGGATGGCTGCTTGTGACCTTTTTAAGATGCGTGCCGCCCTTCCTTGCCCTCCTGTCTCGCCCGCCCACTGCTGCTTCTAAAGGCCCTCTATGCACCATCCCTCTTGCTGCCCTCCCCCCTCACCAGTGGTGCGGTGTACAACTACTTCATCGGCACGGTGCCGGCGATCGCATCGAAGCTGAGCACGTTGGACGTGCGCGGCAACTTCGTCACGGACGTGCCCACGGGCAGCTACTCCTGGTGCGGGGGCGCGGGCAACTGCCTGCTGACGCCCGCCAAGTGCACCAGTGGAGGCTCCGCCCAGAGGCCAGCGGCGGACTGTGCCATCTGCGGCACCACCAACGCCGTGGGCCCTTTCTGTGCGTCGACGGGCGGAGTGTGCACGCTGGACGCGGCTGCGCGCGTCACTGCCGGCACCGTGAACGCGCCGGCGCAGCCTGCGCTGCCCATGGCGTGTGTGGGCGGGACGACTGTGGCCATCAAGGAGAGCACAGGTAGGCAGGGGGCATGGGGCAGGGCAGGGGGCAGGGGGCGGGGGGCAGGGGGATGGGGGGGAGGCAGGGGGACGGGGGGGAGGCAGGGGGCCGGGGACAGGGGGCGGGGGGCAGATGTGCATCGGTTCAGCGCTGTTGCCTCATATGGGTGCGCAACCGCGTGGGAGTGTGCTGCTTGATTAGGGCAGCATCCATCCACAGGGCCCATGCTCCACTTGCTCATGTGCTCCACTTGCTCATGTGCTCCACTTGCTCATGTGCTCCACTTGCTCATGTGCTCCACTTGCTCATGTGCTCCACCTGCTCATGTGCTCCACTTGCTCATGTGCTCCACTTGCTCATGTGCTCCACTTGCTCATGTGCTCCACTTGCTCATGTGCTCCACTTGCTCATGTGCTCCACTTGCTCATGTGCTCCACTTGCTCATGTGCTCCACTTGCTCATGTGCTCCACTTGCTCATGTGCTCCACTTGCTCATGTGCTCCACTTGCTCATGTGCTCCACTTGCTCATGTGCTCCACTTGCTCATGTGCTCCTTAGGGCTTCCCCCCCCCCCCACCTCCCGTGTGCCCCTCACCTCACCAGCCATGCTCGCACTCAAGTCTTCGCTCGGCGTCACTCTCACCACGTGGGCTGCCACTGTGCCATGCCAACTTGCGGGGAAGACCACCACGGTTGCAGTGTGGACTGGTGTGCTCTGTGACAGCACTGGCAGTGTCGTGAGCATGTGAGTGATTGTGATTGGCATAGAAGTTATCATCCGGATATGGCATGGATCACCAAAACTAGCAAGTTAGCTATCATCAGGAATGCTGCTAACCTTGGGACACAAGAGGAGAGGAGGCCCAAAGGCGGTAGTTCAGATTGCGAATCGCGCGGCTCAAACTTCTATATGTTGAAACAGAAGTTGAAAATTTTGAAGGTCCGAGCTTTTTGAAAATTGTGATACGGGGTACCATCCACAGAGTTGCTTCAAAGGTTTTCTGATTCAGCCTACCCCCCGTGTTGCGAGAGGTTGAGAGAAACCCAACCAACCCTCGCACCCAATACGGCACTCCACTGATGTTCACCTTCCCTGCTGCCCACTGCTCAACCCCACTAACGTCAAACAATCTAGGCCGCAGGCTTTAAGAAGTAACACACAGTGCCATTGTTTCATGCCTGTTCCTGCTGAATGCGATCGAGGAGCATCAGCAAGGGCATGTCAGGCAGGAACCTTGTCAACTGCATGCTTCCCTTGACCGCTATGGCACCACTTGTATGATCTCCCTACTATACCCGCATACCAAACTCATCTGCTCGTCCACCCTTGCATGTGTCACTAATCCTCTGCACCTCAGAACCCAGACCAACTCAAACCTCAAGGGCTCACTCCCCACTGACATCTCCACGCTCACAGCCCTCACCTTCCTGTGAGTTGCATCTGCCATGCTCTGGCTGCTGCTCTGATCCACGTTGTGATGTTGTCTGCTGCTGTCATGTCAGCGGGTTTACATCTCCTTTCGTGGCTGGATGGATGGAGCTACTCACTTCTCAGTTGACTAATGATGCCTTCAGTCGACGTTCAAGCACAACGAAAATGCCTCTTGCAAACCGTTGCTTGCTCCCCCCCAACAGCAACGTGCAGAACAATCTTCTCAACTACCGCCTTGACTCTTTCACCACCGACCTCCGATCCTTGCCAGTGCTGGCCGTCTTGTGAGTGCCTGTCAGGGTGTAGGGATGAGGGGTGCGACCAGGCGGATGATGCTGGTGTATTGTCTCGTCACCCACTCTTGTTTCCCTCTCAATCCCCCAACCGGTGGTTCACATGCCGCCACTTGTCTCATCGCCGCCCTCCCCATCTCCTCCTGTCGCAGCGCTGCGCACTACAACTACTTGTACGGCGAAATCCCCTCATTCCTCGTGGGCCTTCCGAAGCTCACTGCGTTGTAAGTATGATAGAAAGACATGTACCGGATGGCTGCTTGTGACCTTTTTAAGATGCGTGCCGCCCTTCCTTGCCCTCCTGTCTCGCCCGTCCACTGCTGCTTCTAAAGGCCCTCTATGCACCATCCCTCTTGCTGCCCTCCCCCCTCACCAGTGGTGCGGTGTACAACTACTTCATCGGCACGGTGCCGGCGATCGCATCGAAGCTGAGCACGTTGGACGTGCGCGGCAACTTCGTCACGGACGTGCCCACGGGCAGCTACTCCTGGTGCGGGGGCGCGGGCAACTGCCTGCTGACGCCCGCCAAGTGCACCAGTGGAGGCTCCGCCCAGAGGCCAGCGGCGGACTGTGCCATCTGCGGCACCACCAACGCCGTGGGCCCTTTCTGTGCGTCGACGGGCGGAGTGTGCACGCTGGACGCGGCTGCGCGCGTCACTGCCGGCACCGTGAACGCGCCGGCGCAGCCTGCGCTGCCCATGGCGTGTGTGGGCGGGACGACTGTGGCCATCAAGGAGAGCACAGGTAGGCAGGGGGCATGGGGCAGGGCAGGGGGCAGGGGGCGGGGGGCAGGGGGATGGGGGGGAGGCAGGGGGACGGGGGGGAGGCAGGGGGCCGGGGACAGGGGGCGGGGGGCAGATGTGCATCGGTTCAGCGCTGTTGCCTCATATGGGTGCGCAACCGCGTGGGAGTGTGCTGCTTGATTAGGGCAGCATCCATCCACAGGGCCCATGCTCCACTTGCTCATGTGCTCCACTTGCTCATGTGCTCCACTTGCTCATGTGCTCCACTTGCTCATGTGCTCCACTTGCTCATGTGCTCCACCTGCTCATGTGCTCCACTTGCTCATGTGCTCCACTTGCTCATGTGCTCCACTTGCTCATGTGCTCCACTTGCTCATGTGCTCCACTTGCTCATGTGCTCCACTTGCTCATGTGCTCCACTTGCTCATGTGCTCCACTTGCTCATGTGCTCCACTTGCTCATGTGCTCCACTTGCTCATGTGCTCCACTTGCTCATGTGCTCCTTAGGGCTTCCCCCCCCCCCCACCTCCCGTGTGCCCCTCACCTCACCAGCCATGCTCGCACTCAAGTCTTCGCTCGGCGTCACTCTCACCACGTGGGCTGCCACTGTGCCATGCCAACTTGCGGGGAAGACCACCACGGTTGCAGTGTGGACTGGTGTGCTCTGTGACAGCACTGGCAGTGTCGTGAGCATGTGAGTGATTGTGATTGGCATAGAAGTTATCATCCGGATATGGCATGGATCACCAAAACTAGCAAGTTAGCTATCATCAGGAATGCTGCTAACCTTGGGACACAAGAGGAGAGGAGGCCCAAAGGCGGTAGTTCAGATTGCGAATCGCGCGGCTCAAACTTCTATATGTTGAAACAGAAGTTGAAAATTTTGAAGGTCCGAGCTTTTTGAAAATTGTGATACGGGGTACCATCCACAGAGTTGCTTCAAAGGTTTTCTGATTCAGCCTACCCCCCGTGTTGCGAGAGGTTGAGAGAAACCCAACCAACCCTCGCACCCAATACGGCACTCCACTGATGTTCACCTTCCCTGCTGCCCACTACTCAACCCCACTAACGTCAAACAATCTAGGCCGCAGGCTTTAAGAAGTAACACACAGTGCCATTGTTTCATGCCTGTTCCTGCTGAATGCGATCGAGGAGCATCAGCAAGGGCATGTCAGGCAGGAACCTTGTCAACTGCATGCTTCCCTTGACCGCTATGGCACCACTTGTATGATCTCCCTACTATACCCGCATACCAAACTCATCTGCTCGTCCACCCTTGCATGTGTCACTAATCCTCTGCACCTCAGAACCCAGACCAACTCAAACCTCAAGGGCTCACTCCCCACTGACATCTCCACGCTCACAGCCCTCACCTTCCTGTGAGTTGCATCTGCCATGCTCTGGCTGCTGCTCTGATCCACGTTGTGATGTTGTCTGCTGCTGTCATGTCAGCGGGTTTACATCTCCTTTCGTGGCTGGATGGATGGAGCTACTCACTTCTCAGTTGACTAATGATTCAGTCGACGTTCAAGCACAACGAAAATGCCTCTTGCAAACCGTTGCTTGCTCCCCCCCAACAGCAACGTGCAGAACAATCTTCTCAACTACCGCCTTGACTCTTTCACCACCGACCTCCGATCCTTGCCAGTGCTGGCCGTCTTGTGAGTGCCTGTCAGGGTGTAGGGATGAGGGGTGCGACCAGGCGGATGATGCTGGTGTATTGTCTCGTCACCCACTCTTGTTTCCCTCTCAATCCCCCAACCGGTGGTTCACATGCCGCCACTTGTCTCATCGCCGCCCTCCCCATCTCCTCCTGTCGCAGCGCTGCGCACTACAACTACTTGTACGGCGAAATCCCCTCATTCCTCGTGGGCCTTCCGAAGCTCACTGCGTTGTAAGTATGATAGAAAGACATGTGCCGGATGGCTGCTTGTGACCTTTTTAAGATGCGTGCCGCCCTTCCTTGCCCTCCTGTCTCGCCCGCCCACTGCTGCTTCTAAAGGCCCTCTATGCACCATCCCTCTTGCTGCCCTCCCCCCTCACCAGTGGTGCGGTGTACAACTACTTCATCGGCACGGTGCCGGCGATCGCATCGAAGCTGAGCACGTTGGACGTGCGCGGCAACTTCGTCACGGACGTGCCCACGGGCAGCTACTCCTGGTGCGGGGGCGCGGGCAACTGCCTGCTGACGCCCGCCAAGTGCACCAGTGGAGGCTCCGCCCAGAGGCCAGCGGCGGACTGTGCCATCTGCGGCACCACCAACGCCGTGGGCCCTTTCTGTGCGTCGACGGGCGGAGTGTGCACGCTGGACGCGGCTGCGCGCGTCACTGCCGGCACCGTGAACGCGCCGGCGCAGCCTGCGCTGCCCATGGCGTGTGTGGGCGGGACGACTGTGGCCATCAAGGAGAGCACAGGTAGGCAGGGGGCATGGGGCAGGGCAGGGGGCAGGGGGCGGGGGGCAGGGGGACGGGGGGGAGGCAGGGGGCCGGGGACAGGGGGCGGGGGGCAGATGTGCATCGGTTCAGCGCTGTTGCCTCATATGGGTGCGCGTGCGCAACCGCATGGGAGTGTGCTGCTCGATTAGGGCAGCATCCATCCACAGGGCCCATGCTCCACTTGCTCATGTGCTCCACTTGCTCATGTGCTCCACTTGCTCATGTGCTCCACTTGCTCATGTGCTCCACTTGCTCATGTGCTCCACTTGCTCATGTGCTCCACTTGCTCATGTGCTCCACTTGCTCATGTGCTCCACTTGCTCATGTGCTCCACTTGCTCATGTGCTCCACTTGCTCATGTGCTCCACTTGCTCATGTGCTCCACTTGCTCATGTGCTCCACTTGCTCATGTGCTCCACTTGCTCATGTGCTCCACTTGCTCATGTGCTCCACTTGCTCATGTGCTCCACTTGCTCATGTGCTCCACTTGCTCATGTGCTCCACTTGCTCATGTGCTCCACTTGCTCATGTTCTCCACTTGCTCATGTGCTCCACTTGCTCATGTGCTCCACTTGCTCATGTGCTCCACTTGCTCATGTGCTCCACTTGCTCATGTGCTCCTTAGGGCTTCCCCCCCCCCCCACCTCCCGTGTGCCCTACACCTCACCAGCCATGCTCGCACTCAAGTCTTCGCTCGGCGTCACTCTCACCACGTGGGCTGCCACTGTGCCATGCCAACTTGCGGGGCAGACCACCACGGTTGCAGTGTGGACTGGCGTGCTCTGTGACAGCACTGGCAGTGTCGTGAGCATGTGAGAGAGCGGAATGGGCAAGTTGATGTAGTCATTGGTGTGGAAATGATGATCAAATTATGCTGCTGGATCATGCATGTCCGTGTGGCTTGTGTGGCACCCCATAGGATTTTTATGTCCATTGCATTCTTCCACTGCCTGTGGTGGCACCCCTAAACCTTCTCCCGCCCCTCCTGCATACTGTGTTTGTGTGCTCACCCGCCCTCGAATGTGTGCTCCAATGCTCTGCCGCCAACTGTTGTGCGCCTCAGATCTTCGCAAAACACAAAGCTCAAGGGCTCCCTTCCATCTGACATCTCGAGTCTCACATCTCTCACCCTCCTGTGAGCTGCGTCTGCTCTCTGCTCTGGCTGTTCCGGTTGGCTGCTGACAATGCTGTCCTCTGTCATAGCAGCTGCTATATGTTTCCTTTTTCAGAAGGATAGAGTTGCTCAGACCCCAGTTGATTGAGGCATGATGCCTCGGTCGAGGGTCAAGCGCAATGACCGTGTGTCCTGCACCCTCCACTCGCCCCTCCCCTGCAGCAATCTGGCGCAGAATCTCTTCAACACCCGCCTCGACTCCTTCACCACCAACCTCCAATCCTTGCCCGTCCTGGCCAACCTGTGAGTTCATGCCAGGTTGTGGCTTTCAAGGGGAAGGGGGTGAGAGCAGGCGTATGATGCTGGTGTCTTGTCTCGCCTCAGCCTTTCCCGTCTCAATCCAATCCTTCAGCCTTTGTTTCACATGCTGCCACTCAGCTCATCGCTGTCCTCGTCGTTTCCGCCCATGTTGCAGCGCTCTGCACTACAACTACTTGTATGGAGAAGTCCCCTCGTTTCTCGTGGGCCTTCCGAAACTCACTGCGTTGTAAGTATGATTTGGCGGCACGCACCAAATAGCCGTGTGCTGCCTCTTAAGATGCATGCCACTTCTCCTTCCTTGCCCTCCTGTCCCGTCTGCCCCCTCGACTTTTAAGGCCTTCTATGCACCTCCCGTCTTGCTGCCCTGTCGCCCCTCACCAGCGGTGCTGTCTACAACTACTTGATTGGTACCGTGCCCGCGCTTGCCTCTGGGCTGCGCTCTCTGAATGTGCGAGGAAACTTCCTCACGGACGTGCCAGCAGCCACGTACACGTACTGCGGGGGCGACACCAACTGCCTGCTCACGCCCTCCAAGTGCACCACCACTGGCACCACTCAGCGGCCTCCCGCAGCTTGTGCCATCTGCGGCACCACCAATGGCGTTGGCCCATTCTGTGCGGCAGGCGGAGTGTGCGTAGCGGACGCCACTGCAGCCGTCACTGCCGGCACTGTGAACTCAAACTCACAGCCCGTGCTGCCCCTGGCGTGCTCGGCACCGCCCGTGCTCGTGAAAGAAAGCGCAGGTGGGCAGTGGGCAGGGGGCAGTGGGCAGTGGGCAGGGGGCAGGGGGCAGTGGGCAGGGGGCAGTGGGCAGGGGGCAGGGTTGTGTCCCATCGCCTGTTGGTGCCTACCTTGCTGGTAGGAGAGCATAGGAGCAACGGGTGTGTGCAGTAATCCCACATGGGCATGGCATGGGTGGGGGGCCTGTGACGGTTCATGTTGCTGGGGCCGTGTGGAGTTGTGCTGCCTGGTACAGCGTGCATGCGTTTAGAGGGCAGGTGCAACCAGACCATCTCCTCACGTGCTCCTTGGGGCATACACCCACCTCCCTCTGCCTGCCTTGCTGCCCCTGTCCCCGCGTGCCCCTCACCAGCCATGCTCGCCCTAAAGCTCGAGCTCGGCGTCTCTTTCACCACCTGGGCGGCCACTGTGCCGTGCCAACTCGCGGGGCAGGCCGCCACAGTGAAAGTCTGGACTGGCGTGCTGTGTGACAGCACTGGGAGGGTCGTGAGCATGTGAGTCGGCATATTGGGCACGAGAACTCCGAGCATGGGAATGGTCAGCGCTAGCGAGTAAAACATCGTGCGAATATGAGGCAACGTGCATGCAAGGAAGGCTTGTTGTTATTATGGCCCAAGTAGAAGATGACGATGACACATGCCAGTGGTTCTCTCCTTCCCTTGTCTTGTGGCGTGTGAGTGAGTGAGCATCAGCAAGGGCATATCACGTGTTTCCTCTCACCACAGTGACACCGTTTCCATAATTTGCCTGCCATGCACCCGCATGCCATACGGTATTCATCTGCCCACCTGCTCTTGCGTGTGTCCTCCAACCATTCGCCATCAACCGTTCCTTTAACACATGCAGAACGCTGGAGAACACAAAGCTCTATGGCTCGCTTTCCACTGACATCTCCACCCTCACTGCTCTCACCTACCTGTGAGTTGTGTATCTTTCACGTTGTTGTTGCTCTAATAGGCCCTCTCACAAAATAATATTGTCCGCTGTTGTACTGACTGCTTCATCTTTCTTATCTCGGCAGCATGCAATGGATGCCCCCCATCTATAGCATCGCCTAGTCGAGCCATGCTGCATTGCATTCAGTTCAGGATTCCTGAACCCTAACCCGAGGTGCTCGAGCAATGTGCTCCTGCCCTCTCTGCTCGCCCCTCGCAGCAACCTGCCGGGCAATTTCTTCAGAGACCGCCTCGACTCCTTCACCACGTCTCTTCGTTTTTTGCCACTCGCCGACATGTGAGTGCTGCGAGTGTGACAGCAGGGGAGGGAAGGCGAGAGCAGGCGAATGATGTTGGCTTCTTGTCTTGCCCCAGCTTTTCACCCACTCCCGTTTTTCTCTCAAATTCTCTGCCCTCCGTTCCACATGCTGCCATTCATCTTACCTCCATCACCTCTCATCTGAGTTCTGCCCTCACCATCTGTGCTCCTCCCACAGCCGTCTGCACTACAACTTTTTGTATGGAGAAATCCCCTCGTTCCTCATGAGCCTCCCAAAGCTGACAAATTTGTAAGACTGATACAAACGCTCGTGCTGGATGGCTGCATGCTGCTTCGTCAGATGCATGCAAATTGTATCTCCTTCCCTGTTCTAGTTCTGACCCATTCCTTTATTCATATTCAACCTTATTGCCAACCCCCCTCCCCAGCGGTGCGGTCTACAACTACCTCATCGGCACCGTGCCTGCGCTCGCCTCCCAGCTGCGCTCTCTGGACGTGCGAGGAAACTTCCTCACGGATGTGCCCACAGCCAACTACACGTTCTGTGGCTGTGCCGGGAACTGCATGCTCACGCCCTCCAAGTGCATCAGCAATGGCACGGCTCAGCGGCCTGCGGCACAATGTGCCTTCTGTGGCACCACCAACGGCGTGGGCCCCTTCTGTTGGGGGGCGGGAGGCGAGTGCGTGGCGGACGTGATTGCTCTTTGGGATGTCGGCATCTTGAACTCGCCCTCGCAGCCCGTGCAGCCCCGTGCGTGCATGGGCGGGTCCGTGCAGGCCATTGCGCAGAGCGCAGGTGAGCCGTGGGCAGTGGGCAGTTGACTGGGCAGTGGACGCATCTTGTCAGCAATGGCCTGGCAGTGCCTGCCTTGCCGCAACCACCTCTCACTGACATGTGATTCTCACCGCTACAGCTTCCTCTGCCCTGCTGCCCTCATGCTGCGCCGTACCTAGACTGTTGCCATAACTCGCTGAACTTAGCTCGTCTAACCCGCGCGACTACCCCTTTATCTACCCGTCTCTCCCATCCACCCACCGTCCCCACCAGCCATGCTGGCGCTCAAGTCGTCGCTGGGCGTGACGTTCAACAGCTGGGCGGCGTCGGTGCCGTGCTCCGTGTGGATGGTCTCGCCGTCCGTGCCCACGTGGCCCAACGTCATCTGCGACGGCGAGGGCAATGTGATCGGGATGTGAGTGGCACACATGGGTGGCGGGGTGGGCGATGGTGCGAGTTCAAGCTGTGACTGGCAGCGTCAGCTGGGCAGCAAGGGAGCGGAAGCAGTTTTGCATGTGGGAGAGCATGTGATGGGTTCCTGTGGGAGAGCATGTGTTGGGTTTCTTCCTGTGCGAGGCCTAACTGCCACTCACTCTCCCTATCTGCCGTTTCTGCTTGGCAGCAACTTGACCAACACGGGGCTCACGGGAAGCATCCCAGCCGACATCTCAAAGCTTGATTACCTCACTTACTTGTGAGTGCATTTCACCCTCACTTACTTGTGAGTGCATTTCACCCTCACTTACTTGTAAGTGCATTTCACCCTCACTTGTGAGTGCATTTCACCCTCACTTACTTTACTTGTAAGTGCATTTCACCCTCACTTGTAAGTGCATTTCACCCTCACTTGTAACTGCATTTCGCCCTCACTTACTTGTAAGTGCATTTCACCCTCACTTACTTGGAAGTGCATTTTACCCTCACTTAGTTGCAGTGCATTTCACCCTCACTTGTGAGTATGTAAGATTCTAAAATCTGGAGGACGAATGATACAAAAAAATGCTAAAAAACATGCTCAACTATGCATGAGTAATAGTCCCTTTATTGCTCCGCGATTGGTGCTCTCTGGTTTTTTTTTTTCTAGGTGAGCACAACAAACACACAAGCACGCACAATAGAAATGTGCGTGCAGCTCTGGGAATTCTATCCCGCGCTTGAACCGTAGAAGACAAATTGCAAGTGACCTAATTATTGTAGTCAAGTCTTACCTGTAACGGAAATGCAAGAAGCGGCTAAAGTAACGCGCTCAAAATTCATTGGCTGCTACCCTTCGCCAACGTTGCCGAGTCTCCAATCCGAACCACGTTGGTGGTGCTGCCACACGCTAGCTTCACAAGGGCCCCAAACCCATCCATCCAGGTCTCCTCAACGAGATGTAAGATTGATCCTGTTCAAAATGTCCCGAAAGTGTTTCAAAAGTGCCTTTTGGGAGGGCTGTAGGTAGACTATGGATGGGCCGTTTTTAGCATCGGACGAGTCTCAGGGCGCATTCCTAGCTTCGGGTCATTCGGTTTTCGTGTCATCCGAGATTGTGGGAACCAACCGGAAAACCCACGGTTTGAGATTCAGGTTTTTCGGTTGGTTCCCACAATTCTCGGATGACATAAAAACGGGATGACCCGAAGCTAGGAATGCGCCCTCATTCTTTCCTTTTCAAGGTAGCCAGCGCTATGTATTTCAGATTCAACATGACTGACTGTTCAGCCATTCCCTTCAGCTTTAAGCTAGCGTTGCTCATGGTAGCATGTTCTTCTAACAGAGAGCACCTCATCGCTCACCTACCTGTAATTGCATCTCATTCGCACGTCCGTGTGAGTCGACCCCCAGCAGTCCGAGGCTACCCAAGCATCTGCTCCTGTGTTGGCCGCCTTCTCAGCAACAACCCGTTCTCTGCCACTAACCTGCCATCGGCCAATCCGCCTCAGAATGTGTTCCCTCCCTAGCCTGTCGCCCCCTCACTTTCCTGTGCTCCCCCACCTCCTGTGTTTCCCCCTCGCCTTGCTGTGTGCGCCTCCTCGCCTTGCTCCGTGCGCCTCCTCGCCTTGCTCCGTGCGCCTCCTCGCCTTGCGCCGTGCGCCTTCTTGCCTTGCGCCGTGCGCCCCTCGGGCAGGTCACTGTCGACGCAGCTCTTCCAGGCGCCCCTGGCTGCCTTCTCCTCCAACCTCCTTGCGCTCACCTTTCTCAATGAGCTGTGAGTCACATTTCGCACTTGTCAGAATTCACCAACCTCAGGTCTCCGGCCCGTGCGTTGCTTGAGTCACTATGCTGCCTCTCCTGATCCCTCTGTCTCTTCTTCCCCATCTTCCCCTCTGGCACTTGGCCCTCCCATTCCTGCCCTAGGGCCCATTATGCCTTTCTCTTCCACCGCCCCTCACACGTCTCCTTATCGTCCCGTGCTGCCTCGTGCCCACCCTTCACTGCCCTGCCGCTTCCCTCCCCACAGCTACCTGCCGTACAACTGGCTGTATGGCTCTGTGCCAACTGCGCTCTTCAACCTGCAATTGCTTTCTGTGATGTGAGCCCCCTCGCACATTCCTCACTCGCTCCCATACTTGTCTGTGCATCCCCCTTCATAATTTGCTGCTGCCTTCCCTGCCCCACATGTTCTCACATTCACGCACATCTGTTCACGCACATCTGTTCACGCACATCTACTCGTCTCTGAGTCTCGTCTCCTCCCATCTCAACACCGCCCCCGGATCCCCAATCTCGCTGCCCATTACGACTCCTGCAGTGACCTGAGCTACAACTACCTCACGGGCAGCTTCCCAGCGTCCACCACTCTGTCCAGTCTGGACATCCGCAGCAACTTCTTCTACGCCGTCGGCACCATGACCCTGCAGTCCTGCGCCGCCATCTCCAACTGCCTCGCCTCTCCCGCCGCCTGCAGCTCCGCCGGCACCACGCAGCGCCCCACAGCCGACTGCGCCATCTGCGGCTCCACCAACGGCCAGCCGCCCTTCTGTGGCGGCACCGGCACCTGCGCGCCTGACTCTGGCCCCGCAGCCGCACAGGGCACGCCCAATGTGGCGGGCTCGGCCCTGCTGCCCATGGTGTGCAGTGGCGTCGCCATCGACGCTGCTGATGGTGAGCGCATGCTCACCACACCACGCGCCCACAGACATCTGCACACTCGCAGGCAGTAACACATTTACATGCACCCATGCAATCACTAGCTTCCTCGTGCACGCTCCACTTGTACCCCCCTCACTTCACGCCTGCTCTCGCATCTCTCAACCCCATGGCCACTGTCATTCACTGAACGTGGTTCTTACCCCTTCCCCACCCCTCTTCCCCCCCCTGCCGCACCAGCTGCGGTGCTGCTGGCGCTCAAGTCGTCGCTTGGCGTGACGCTGAACAACTGGAACACGGCAGCGCCGTGCACACTGGAGGGGCAGGCGCTGCTGCCCGCACAGTGGGGTGGTGTGCGCTGCACTGCTGCAGGCAAAGTCACGAGCATGTGAGTGCAGGGATGGCTGGTGAGGCACAACAGTGAGTGGGTGCAGCATGCCAGAGGGGGTTGCTGTTGGTGTTGCTCTTGCCTCTCCCTATCCTATACACCTCCTATTCGTACCCTGCCCTCCATTCATCTGCCATCTGTCAATCATGCACCGCCTCTCACCCGGCACCGGGCGCACCTCACTGTCCCCGGGTTAATCATGCCAATCCCATTTACCTTATTTAATCTTAACAATGCAGTGCGCTCAAACGGCAGCAACTGAAGGGCTCCATTCATCCCGACATCTCCAAGCTCACCACGCTCACTTACCTGTAAGCCCACCGCACCACGCTCACTTACCTGTAAGCCCACCGCACCACGCTGACTTACCTGTAAGCCCACCGCACCACGCTCACATGGAACCTTCACCTGTCAGGGAGAGATATCCGTTTGTGAGGCAAGACAAATCTGCAATTTTCTCACCCATAAGCAATTCCCTCACCCATTTGCAATTCTCTCACCCATCTGCACTGCTCTCTCTCCCCTCCCTGCCGCAGAGACTTCGGATACAACCTCTTCCAGGGTCGTCTCGACTTCTTTGCCGTCCCACTCAAGCCTCTCACCTCCCTCAAGGCGCTGTAAGTCCGGGCCCCCTTCCACCACGCCCACCTGCTCCTTTGTCTCCCTCCCCACCCCCCCCGCCCCTGTGACTCGTGCTGCTGCACAATGCGCGCTGGGCTGTGCCAATCCAGCGTGGCACATGCTGCTACACCTGGCCACCACAATTACTCAAATCCCTCGTGCATCCCATGCTTGCATTGTGTTAGCATCCCACTTATTCTCCTATGCGCCTTCGTCCATTCACCCTCGCATTTGTCCCTCCCCTCGTCCATCGCAGCTTCTTCCATTACAACTATTTCGCCGGCTCCATTCCTTCTGCCATCGCCACGCTGCCTCAACTCACCTCACTGTAAGCCAAGCGAGCAGCATCCTTCATGCCTGCACGTCAATGCCGCCCGCCCTCTCCCCGTACCAAATGCCGCATGGCTGCACACTCCACTCACAACAACTTCCATTCCCCATGCCCAGCCCGCCCCTGATTACCCACCACTCCCCCCCTCACTTCCCATCCCCTCCCCTCACCTTCCTCTTCCCCACCTTTTCCCCCGCTTCCTCTTTCTCCCCCTTGCAGCGGCCTCTACTCCAACTACCTCACGGGCACCGTGCCCATCCCCTCCAAGGCCCTGCTCGCTCTGGACGTGGGCTTTAACTTCCTCTCGGGGGTCTTCCCAAATGTGGCGTTCATGTTCTGTGCGGGCGAGAACAACTGCTTTGTCAACTCCACCAACTGCCGCACCTACGGCAGCGTGCAGCGCCCTGCCGGTGCCTGCGCCATCTGCGGCACGGCGGGTGGGCAGGGCGACCTCTGCTTCGGCGGCACCTGCGCTCCCGTCGCCTCTGCTGCCATCGCCGCTGGCACTATCAACTCGCCCAGTCAGCCCATCCTGCCCATGTCATGTGCAGGTCAGTGTGTGTGTGGCGCACATGGCTGGGCGTGTGCTCTGCTGCAATACATGGCAGTCTGTTCGCTCTCCTTCGATATTCTTCCTTTTCGCATCGCTCCTCCGCCTGCTCCCACCACTTTGGCCCTCCTCATGCCTCCTGCCATGCTCACCCTCTCCCACTCTCTCCTACTTCCTAACTCTCCCCTTGCAGACAATCCGGCTGCACCAATGGATACGGGCTCAGGTGCGCTCACAAGCCTTGCCGCCATGCACGCATGCACATATGAAGTCCCGCCTCCATGCCTCTCGCCGCTCATCCTTCACTCCCCGTGCACGTATACCCCTTGCTCTTTCTCATCTGCCAGCCTCCATGCTTCGCAACTCTCCATCCTTCACTCCTGTGCACGTATACCCTCTTTCCACTTTCCATCGCCCTCACTCCCACTGCCATGCCTCTAACATCCCGTCCTCCCCTCCCTCTAAACCCATCGCTCACAGCGGTGGCGCTGCTGAACGTGAAGTCAGCGTTGGGAGTGACGTTCTCGACCTGGGCGGCTGCTTCCCCCTGCACCATCGCCAACTCTACTGTAACCGTTGCTGGCACCTGGACCGGCGTGCTCTGCTCCGCTTCTGGCGACGTCCTCAGCGTGTCAGTGCTCCCCGCCTCCCTGCTCCCCGCCTCCCTGCCCCCTGCCTCCCTGCTCCCTGCTTCCCTGCCCCCTGCCTCCCTGCTCCCACTGCCTACTGCTGCATGCCACATTTGATATCAACCGTAGTCTTCGATGCACGCCACCCACGCCTCCTTTCTCCATCACTCCCCCTTCCTCCCTTTTTGTCCTCCCTGCCCTCCCTTCCCCCCATGTCACTGTTTGCAGCAACCTCTCCTCCTCCGCCCTGGCCGGCAGCATGCATGCTGACATCACCAAGCTCACAGCCCTCACCTACCTGTCAGTGCCCTCAACCCACTCGCTCGCTGCTCCTTCCAAAGCTGTCGACGAGCTGTCTCGTACCCTCACCTTTCCCCACCCACTTTCCTCTCTGCCTGTCCGCCTCGCACATCTGCCAATTCTAAGGCTCCCTCTCCGCCTCAGCTCTGCCTGCTCCTTGTCTCTGCCGCCCACCCGCTCCCGTCGCCCCTTGCGCCTCCCGTGTCCTCCCGTCTGCGCGTGCTCTGTGCTGCGTCTATCCCGCCCGCCCCTGCAGCGACCTGTCCAAGAACGTGCTGCGCGCCAACCTGGCCAGCTTCGTCTCTTCCTTCTCCGGCCTCCAGGCGCTCCAGCAGCTGTCAGTGCCGCCGCCCTCACCCACTCCGCCCCACACCTCCGCCGGATTCGTCATGTGCCCCCACTCGTGTTGTTCTCACTCATGCTCTGCCCTTACTCGGGCTGATCCAGCATGTGTGAGCCTGTCTGCACACAGCCTCGCACTGCATGCCACTTTGCTCCTTCAGTACGTGCAGTACAGCACATCTTCACTTGCACCTGCTTCCCCTTCCTCCTCTCCCCACAGGCGCCTCAACAACAACTGGTTTTCGGGCTCCCTGCCTCAGGCCCTCATGTCTCTTCCCGCCCTCACTCTGCTGTAAGGGTCATCTGGATTAGCGTTGGTTTCCACCCTACGCCCTCACTCATTCGCTCATTCGCATATGTGCTGCTGCGCACGCACTCACTCGCCTCGCCACAACTTCAGTGTGCAACACACATGCTTCCATCAGCAACCCAACCCCCCTCTCACCCCCTTACCCCCCTCCCTAGCATGCTCGTCACCACACATTCATCTCTCCTTGCCTCTTTCTCCGCCCTTCCTCACCCTCTCCTACTGGCACGCCAGGGACGTGCATGCAAACGCGCTGACAGGGTCGCTGCCCGCCGTGTCATCCACGCTGGCAGCGCTCTTCCTGCACGACAACTTCCTCGCGGGCAGCTTCGCAGCGGGCGCCCTCACCGCGTGCGACGCCAGCCTCAACTGCCTGACCAGCGCCGCTGCGTGTGGCGCCAGCAGCACCACGCAGAGGGCTGCTGCTGCGTGTGCCATCTGCAACAGCGCAGATGCTCAAGGGCTGCTGTGCTGGGGTGGCATGTGCCTGCCCAACGTCACTGCCACCACCGCCCACCCTGACGGACTCGCCCCGCCGCCCATGTACTGCGCTGGTGCGTCTCTGCCCGCCCTTCTCCCCGCACTGTGGGGGCGCTCGTGCTGCTCCCCACCGTGTCCGCCTCGCCCCTGCTGCCTCCCACTCGCTCTGTTCTCTGCCTCCTGCTGGCTCGCACCTTCACCCTCCCCTCTTTTTGGCCCAATGCCTCTGAATGCCCCTGAATACCTCTGAACGCCCCTGAATGCCTCTGCATGCCACTGAATGCCTCTAACGCCTCTGAATACCCCTGAATGCTTCTGAATTCCTGGTGCAGGTTCTCCTGTGGTCAACATCAGCAGCGTTGACGGTGAGTGCCTCGCCTCAGATCGCCATGCTGCCTGAACTTCTGCTCTCTCTACCCATGCCGTTTCCTGTGTCCATTACCCCGCCGTTCGCCAAGAGTGATGTCATCGCACATGGTGGTGTGGTGTAGTTCCCAATCCAACACTCTATGCCCCTCCATGCACCACCTCACCTCCCCCAACGCCATGTGCCAACCTCACCTCTTCACTCCCTCGCTTTTCCCCTCCCCCCATTACACACCTACCCCCCCCCCCCCCCCCCCCCTGTCCCTCCTCTCCGCCTCCTCTTTTCTCTACCACGATGCGCGGCAGCTGTTGCGCTGGCGGCGCTGAAGAGTGCGATGGGGGTGACCTTCACCACGTGGGCGCCCGCCACCTACTGCACCGTGGAGCCCACACCGCAGATCGTCGGCACGTGGGATGGCGTGCTCTGCAACTCCCTCGGCAAAGTCGTCTCCCTGTCAGTCCGCTTGCACTCTACCCCCCTGCCCTCTGCTCGTCTGCCCTTGCTCTGTGCGCCACTTCTCTCTGGATGCTAGTGCTCTCCCTAACTCCCAGTGCCATTGCCCTCTGCTCACTCTTTTTGTTTTCTGCATGCTGCATGTCCATGGTGTGTCTTCTTCCTTGCCTTGGACTCATCGCTCCCATGCGCCCCCTCTCTTACCTCTCCAACCCCTTGTGTGCGGCGCACCTTCCATCCGCGTCCACCAGGCTACTCCCCAACAAGAAGCTCACGGGCACTGTGCCGCTCGCCGTCTCCACCCTCACTGCGCTCACTGCCATGTGAGCCGCTTCCCTGCCTGCTGCCTCCCTGCCCGCTGCCTCCCTGCCCGCTGCCTCCATGCTCTCTGCTTGCGTTCCTGCCCACTGTTTCTTGACTTCTCAGATTGGACCCTGCAGCCCGCCCTTGCTTGCCATTGCTTCTCCACTTTCGCGCTTGAATTAATTCGTCACAACAACAAAAATCTGCGTGTCTGATAGACACCGACTACTTGTGTCACCCGCTCTCCTCGTTCTCTCCTTTCCGCTCCTCTCCTCATTCTCTCTCCTCTCTGCCCTTCTCCTCATTCTCTCTCCTCTCTGCCCTTCTCCTCATTCTCTCGACTCTCTTCCCTCTCCCCGCTCTCTCTCCTCTCCGCCCCTCCCCCCAGCGACCTCACCTCCAACCTCTTGCAGGGCCGCCTGGACGAAGTTGCCACGCAGCTGCGCCTGCTCACCAACCTCAAGTCCATGTGCGTTGCCATAGCTGCTGCTGGTGTTGGTGCATGAAGCTGGGACAATCATGACAAACATCTTTCTACCAAGCCAACCATAGACCCACCTCTCTATAGCACCGCAGGCGGGTTGTACAGCATGCCTGTGCTCATGGGTCCAGCTCTCCTTGCTTTTGTTCCACTCTATCCTTCCGTGGCTTCAAGCTCCCTCACATCATCCTCTCACCCACCCCTGCCTCTGTCTCTGCCTCTGCTCTCCCACCGCCCCATGCCCCCAGCGATCTCGCCTACAACTGGCTCTCCGGCTCAGTGCCTGCGTTCATGCTCACCCTCCCCAGCCTCACGAAGATGTACGCCCCACTTCCCCACTCCACTGCCCCTTCCACGCGCCTGCAAGTGCTTCCTCTTGTGTCCATGCTCGTCGCTCTGCCCCCTCCGCAACACCTTGCGATTCTTTTCCTCCATCATGACCTCACCTCCATCCTCCACCCATAACACTGGCTCATCCATGGGCAATTGCCTCCCCGCCCCACCGTGCCCTCCTCTGCTCCACAGCACCCTAGGCTACAACTATCTGACGGGTGCGCTGCCGAACGTGACATCCCCGCTCTCAGTGGTGGACGTGCAGTTCAACTTCCTCGCCGGCTCCTTCCCCACGCTCACCCTCACCCTCTGCGCCGCGCGCATGAACTGCTTCCTCGACGCCACCAAGTGCAAAAACCCCAACCGCGCCGCCGAGCTCCCGCGGGCCACCACAGCGTGTGCCATCTGCAACACCACCAACGCGCAGGGCCGGCTGTGCAGCGGCGGGCTGTGCACCGTCAACGCCACGGACCTCGTGGCACTCGGTGCGCCCAACAGTGCTGCATCGCCCACACTGCCGCTCATCTGCGTGGGAGCGGCGTTTGTGGCGATGGACTCGGTGCATGCAGCAGCCATGCTGAACCTCAAGGCGTCGCTGGGAGTGACCTTCACTGAATGGAAGGCCGACTCGCCCTGCTCCCTGCGCGATGCCGTCGCCCCGGGGTCATGGAGTGGGGTAGCCTGCGACGCCACTGGCAAAGTGCTCAGCATGTGAGTGTGCAGAAATAGTTCCAGTTCGCTAATTAACTGGGAGAACAGTTTGGGTCATCCCAGTGCCCTCTTTCAACACTCTTCTCACTAGGAACGCCCACCACTTGGACACAGGAAGCCTGCTGACACCAGGATTCAAGCACAGGTCCCTCGCGCACATCGGTCTACGCTTACCGCACCATGCAGGGATAGCTCCAATTTGCTAACCAGCTGGGACAGAAGGGCCTGTTTGTGTGGTGGGCAGGCACACCCATACCTCCCAGGATGGCACATATAGCCCCTGCAGAGACCCATCTTTGGCGTTTTGCTTTTCTAGACCTCATATTGCTCAAGTCATCACGTTCGCTCGATGCACTCTCCATGCTGCCGTGCTTGTTGAGCCAAATCTGCAGAGTGCTGGGTTCCCAGAAGCTGGCGGGCAGCATCCACTCCGACATCTCCAAGCTCACCACGCTCACCTTGCTGTCAGTCCTCACGCCCTCCTCTCTCCGCCTCTCACTCTCACCTACCTGCACTTCAATTCTGATGTTCCCTGCGCATCCGTTTCTTGAGGCGCCTCAAACGCGCTCTGCGTTCCTGATATTCAATACGTCCTTAACTCAAGATGCCAGTCTGCGTTATGCTGAATCGTTTCTTGTGTGCTCGCCTCCCATGGCTGCGCCCTGCAGTGACCTGCAGTCCAACCTGCTGCAGGGGCGGCTGGACTCCTTCACTGCCAGCATCAAGACGCCCCTCGTGCTCAAGGAGCTGTGAGTCACCAATTCCCGCTAACGCTCTCTGCATGCACCCACCCATGCACCCACCCATGCATGCACCCACCCATGCACCCACCCATGCATGCACCCACCCATGCACCCACCCATGCATGCACCCACCCATGCACCCACACATGCATGCACCCACCCATGCACCCACCCATGCATGCAGCCAACCATGCACCCACACATGCATGCAGCCATCCATGCACCCACCCATAAATGCAGCCATTTGTGGGTATATTTGACCATGCTCAACTCTGCCCTGCACAGCAAAATCACCATTCGCCCGTTCCTCCTGACCCCCTAACCATTCTTTCCTCTCCCTCCACCCTTCCCCTCCCATGGCCTGTGCTGCGCATGCCTGCAGCGCTCTGCAGTTCAACTACCTTGTTGGTCCGTTCCCCTCCACGCTGCTCGCCCTCTCCACTCTCTCCAAGCTGTGAGTGCTCTGCACCACCCCGCCTTCCACTCTCGCACGTCACCCACACCGTTGCTACTCTCCAATCGCACACCATCTCTCCAGTCGCACAGCATCTCTCCAGTCGCACAGCATCTCTCCAGTCGCACAGCATCTCTCACACATTCCCTCATTCTCCCTCCGCACCTGCTCCTGCCTTCCCCCACCTTGTCTCCCCCCCGCTCTCCTTCCCACTTCCCCAAATTCCCAACCACACCCCCCCCCCCCCAAACCCCCCACCTTCCCAGCTCCGTGGGCTACAACTACCTCACGGGCCCCTTTCCCACCG